TAATATACTGATACTAAACACTGAGAGAAAACGAAATAATTATGGCAACTATAAATTTGACAACTTTTGCAATTTAAGTATCTGTAACTAGTTTTACAAAGTGATAGCAACTGAAGTAGTACTAATTACTATAAAAAAATATAGTAATGGTAAAAATATATAACAATATTTAGGTACTAATAATTAGTAGTGAAATAGTGACTCAACTACATTGAGTAATTACTTGAACTTCGTGCAAAGATATAACAAATACATTTTTCTAGATAAAAAAATTAGATAAAAACTTTTTTTAATGAAGCACTCTATATTATAGCAACTAATTAATCATTGTTAAAGTAATTTTAAGGAGTATATTCAAAATCTTTTCTCTAATGTCACTCGCTCGAGCAGTACGCGACATTGTCACTAGAGGGACATTACTGTAGTAGAATTCAGTTTTTCCTAAAAAGAAAACCATTCAACTTACAATAAAAGCTTACAACAAAAGCAGTATCGAACTTGGAAGACAAAAATAAATGAAAAATGTATAAAATTTATAATTATGTATTAAAAATTTTAATAAAAACAATAAACAAATTAAGTGAATTAAGAAAATATAGTAATATTAATCATTAGTAATTGATTAATAGTTACGTTTACCTATATCATGTTCTTAGTTCACCACTATGTAATAGGGGTCCTTGTTTATCCTGTAAGTTAAACAAAGCATCTATCGTATAGATCGCGAATTAAACGGTGTAAACGTAATCATAATTATTATATAACGTTAGTATATTAACGTTATTATATTTTTTTAATTTAATATTCTTATTAGAATTTTATAATATATACCGGATGTCTCGCAAGTTTTTGCTAAGTGCTTTTGTGTAGATAGAGCGGACTAAACTGAGTCGAAAAGTCCTCTACCATTTTACAATTTTCGCTACAGTTAACAAGATATTAATTATTAAAAATTGTGGTCTTTAATAATTTTTTACTCAAATACTATCAACCTTACAGAAAAACTGCAAGAGACAAAAATCGTTTATTTTCTTCTCATAGAGCTCTTTAAGAATTTTTTCAGAATTTTTTAATACTGCATTTTCATATTTTTACCAACATGAGAAAATACGGTATTAAAAAATTTTGAAAAAATTCTGAAAAAATTTTCAGAATTTTATGAGAAGAAAATAAATACTTTTGTCTCGCTGTTTTTCTGTAAAGTTGATAGTATTTGAGTAAAAAATTATTGAAAACCAATATTTAGCGAATTTTATTAATGTTAATCATTGCGAAAATTGCAAAATAGTAGATGACTTTTCAATTCAGTTTAGTCCGCTCTATCTATACAAAAACTTACGGGACATCCTGTATATAGTTGAGGCGCTATTTATAGTGCAACTACAAATTTATATTACTGATACGACTTTTTTCTTTGAGTGAAAATATTGCTCATTAATATAACAGTTAACCTGTTTGCTTTCTAGGCAAAGCTTATATTTTCTTTCTTTTATGATATCAGAAAGAACAATAGCTGTAATTATTAACGCTGCTGAAAGCTGACCCACGATGCCCATTTCGATCGCGTTTCTTGATTAAAACCAACAAGAAATTACCATTATAGTGTCCAACAGACGGTCCTACCACCATGATCGTCCTCCCCTCTATCTCTTGCTCTCCATCTCATTCGTAATGTTCAGCGATGTAGGGACCGGGCGATGTCCTTTTTGCAGACAATCTTCAGGGTTTAATTAAGGAACTTGAAAGAGTGGATGAACTCGATGAATGGGGCGAACGGAAAGTGAAAGGGCGACGTTGAGAGTAAAGAGAGGGAGAAGGGTAGAAAAAGAGAGTCAAATGTTCTTTACTAACCAGGATAGCAGCATGCGAACGTTCCTTGATCATTCCATAATATATACGTACTTCGCATGTGCATGTGTGCGGAAACGCACATGCATGACGGCGCAACGCCGTTATGTACAGCTTTAAGAATTGTGCATCACCCTCGTTGTTGTTGGGATGTGGAAAACAAACAGCCGACTCGACGATCGGAAGAGAAGGCGAAATAGTAAGAGACGCCGATAGGAAGATAGAGAGCGTGGAATTGTGCGATCGAGCATACAGAGTCTAAAGCTTATAAATTGCACACAAGGAAACAAAGAAAAATTAAGAGCAGAAAAGTACAATGTCGTTAGTAAAATCGATTATTAAAAATTCATTTTGCGAGACGCTTAAAAGCAACTACATTTTTTTTTAACATTAATGATGCTCATTATTATTTTTTTTTCATAGTACGCGATTTTCTTTGAGTGGTGTGTAACGTTTTTGCCACGCCTGTAATATCGCTCTTATGCGATACAATTTTCTTTTTGATCTCTGTTACAATGGCTTAAGAGTTTCTCGAGGAGGTGAGAAGGGGAGAGCTTACGTCGATCGTCGCGTGCCGCCTACGGAAAGTTAGCGATTTAGAGTGCGTGTATCCGAGGAGTTAATGACGACGTTAGTTAATGACGGCGTGCTTTGATGTGCCGCTCGTATACTGGAAAAAAGTCTCCCGCTTACGTAATTGTTTTGTAAACTGAGCGCGATGCTTTGACGGCGACGTCACATGGGGGCGTAGGATTAAAATGTGTGTACGCTCTTTTAACAAGGGAAAAGTTTCTGCATTTCCTTCACACGTGCGAGTTTCCGATCGATAATGGATTCCAGCGATTTAGATCGATTGAAACTGATATGATAGTAATCAGTGATTCAATTATAAAGTTGACCTTTTGAATCTATATATCAATTGACTCAATTATTTTCTTTCTTTCCTTCCTTTCTTATACTCTCTTTCTTATCTTTCTTTCTTTATGGGACAATATTTAATTAATTACATATCATATATTATAAGAAATAATAAAATGTTTGAATTTGCTTGTAAACATAATATATGTAACAATTCTACATTGAGAAAAAATATACTTAATTTTGATAAATAATTGTTTGAATAATGCTAATGTAACATTTATTTATGGGAAATAAATATTTGCTAAATAAAAAAAATATAATAATTAAATTAAATTAATGGTTCTCGTATCAAATAAACATATATTTATATTTAATAAATATTCAATTGACACTATTCAAACAAATATTTATTAAAATTTAGTACATTTTTCTGTCTCAGTGTAGAGAGAGAGAGAGAGAGAGAGAGAGAGAGAGAGAGAGAGAGAGAGAGAGAGAGAGAGAGA